GTGCGTGTGTGTGAGAGAGAGAGACAGTGTGTGTGTGTGTGTGCGCGTGTGTGTGTGAGAGAGAGACAGTGTGTGTGTGTGTGCGCGTGTGTGAGAGAGAGAGAGAGAGAGAGTGTGTGTGTGCGTGTATGTCAGTGCGTGCGTACGTGGGTGTGTGTGTGTGTGTGCATGCTTGCGTGCGTGCGTGTGTATCTATGACTGTGCTATGCTGCTATAGCACGTAATCTCTATAGTTGCACCTCTATGGCATGTCTGTTACCCATTGTTAATATATTGCTGTGTGTTGTGCAGAGTATGACTATGAGCCGTGCTACAAGGACTACTTGCCAACCATCAATGCGTGCCCGTCTGTGTGTGTGCGTGCATGCGTGTGTGTGTTTGGTGTGCGTGTATGTGTATGTGATATGTAGAATACACTGTCTGTTACCAATCGTTAATATTTCTCTCGGCATTCTGCAGAGTATGAGCCGTGCTACAAGGACTACTTTGAGTGTGCGAACCATCACTGCGTGCCCGTCGCGTGGAAGTGTAACGGCTTTAACGAGTGCGGCGACCAGAGTGACGAAGATGAGAGCATATGCAGTGAGTGTCGCCTATATTTGCTGCGTATTTTTCCTATTATATCATGTATATATCATATATTATTGTATGTGTATTTTTCCCCTAACCCATTAACTCATTACCTATGCAGAATATGTATTATATATCTATAGAGCGTGTCTATGCATGAATTGGATTGAGAGCTATATATAGTAGTTGCATTGTTAGTACTACACACTATACAATGTATAGTAATGAACTACATATATATATATATATATATATATGTGCGTATTTTACACCTAGCACATTGACTTGGTGATTGCTCCATGCCGCAAACATTATGCCCATACTTGAATCATATAGCGAGTATATAAACTCTGGGATACTAGGCCAAGTCAGTCTGTAAAATCCAGATGGGGCACTTCTGATTCTGTCATTTTCATGCACTTCGGCTCAGAAATGTGACGGGAACAAGAGGTTGAATAACATATATATATATAATATTACATACATTATTATTTTATTTATTTGTTTATTTATTTATTTTATACATATTGACTTGAATCACGTTGCGGATTCGTTTCAGACCCGCAGCTGAACAAGACGTGTCAGGGTGAGGATGAGTATCAGTGCAGCAACGGAGTCTGCATCGCTGAGGAGTTGCTATGCAACGGTTGGGACGACTGCGGTGACTCGTCCGACGAACTGCTATGCAGTAAGTGCAGCTTGAAATTTAATTATAAAAAATTTTAATTGTTAATTGACATATTCGTATTTTTAATTTTAAAACTTCATTCTTATTTTTTTATGTATTTTTTTATATTTTTTATATTTTTACACTATTAAAAGTTAAACTTAAGTAAAAGTAAATTAAAAATATTAAAATAAAACTTCATTCGATTGTAAGATTTTTTTCGTGAACCATTACCGGATGTAATACTCAGACAACATATATATTTAAAGATCCTGACATAAGTGATGATATATATATATATATATATAACTATAATATCATATATATATATTGTGTCTGGTAACTGTGAATGCAGCATCTCTGCATCAACTCTCACTATTGTACATCCCATGTTTCTTTTTCTCTGCACCTCACACCCCCCCGCGCAGACGCGTTTCAACGAGATGGCGCGGAGCAATGCGTGCCGGCAGGCCTGCGGAGGATCTCAAGTCGGATACCGCTGCAAGTGCCAGCCCGGATTCCGGCTTGCCGCCGACCAGCACATGTGCAAGGGTGAGTAGGTTCGGAGGTAGTTCGTTGTAGTTTGGTGTTCGTTGTAATGTCTCTTCCAGTAATGCGACGTACGGTCATATGGACGGATTGTTGCGTTTTGAGAATCAACATTATCACTGCAGAAGATGTGCTAGCTAAGCGAGCAGGGTTCTGTGCAAGCTTTTTCATTATAGGGATGGCGGGTGCTGGCCTTTACGATTCCTAGTTGCATAATCACCGAAGGCGGTTGACGTGCTAAGGGGTCCGGGGCTATGATCTATTTAGCATGGCGGCTATGAGTATTTAGATGGTGGGTGCATTTAGGGATGGCGGGGCCGACGATAGGCCTGGCGGGCCGCCAGCTATACGTTGCTCTTGAGAACCCTGAAACAGATACGCTACTTTGGGTTGTAATAACAACCATGCTAATGTTTAATACCTGGTTGGCAGGTGTAGATCAGTGGAGAAATGCATGTGTTTCAACCATTTAGGTTCTAAATTACGCCTACATAAATAATTCAGCGTTCAAGTCACGCATAGAAACACTTTTAATGTTTTAAAAGCTAACGACTATGTTTGATTTAAACGACGTGGCGCCAACTCAAAGCGCACGATCTGAAAGTTGCGCCAAAACGCAATTTCCAGCCAAGGGCTACAGCACCGAGCGAGGTGTTTCTTATTTATTAATTTACAAGCAAAAGGATGTAATATCTTATAACAACACTATAGTTCATTATAGTTATGGATTAAATTGTGTCCTAAAATGAGCATCGTTCGGTTAAATAGCATTTAGGTTAAATATAATTGCACCTTAGTGATTAGCCCTGCATCTGTAACGTGCAAAACATATTGGGAAATGCACACTTTTTTAGGTGGTGGCAGCAACGGTCGGCGGGTGTCTAATGGCGTATTCCATTTCGTACATTGATGTATAATGTAATTTATACAATCTAATTAGGTATCTCGGTAACACGAGTACGTGTGGGTCATAGCGATTTGTTCGATACAGTAAGTACGTTGAATGCAGTAAAATCCTAGGAGGTCTAGTATCCTTTAATGTGTGTTAATGTGTCTTAATGTGCGTCGTGTCTATAGTGTGTTTGCTGTTAATAGTGTTATCATGTCACACTAACGTGTTTCCGTTGGTGTTGTGCAGACATTGCGGCCCATCGAGTGTGAGGAAGGTATATGTTTAACTGTGTTATTGTTTTCTCCGGTGTCGTTTGAATGTGTGTTATAAGAGTTTTGCAGGACATTGAGAGTGTGAGGAGGCGACATGTGGCTTCTATTGTGCTTATTGTGTTGTGATGTGGTTTCTCCCATGTGCTTTAATCAGGCTGTTAGTAATGTGTTTGCAGACATTGATGAGTGTGAGGAGTGATGCCGTGGCAGTCATGCTGTGTAGGAACACGCAGCGAAGCTACCAAGCTCGTCGCGCAGAGATACTCCATAACGTTTTTAATGTGTTTTTTCATGTGTTTAATGTGCTGTAATATGTGTTTGTAGACATTGTGATCAGCAGGAGGTGTGCACGTGCAGTCAAGCTGTGTAGGAACACCGCTACTGGAACTACCTGCTCCTGGCAAGAGAAAACATCATGAACGTTTTTAACATGTGTTTTTCAATTGTGTATTAATGTGTGTTATAATGTCGTTTTGCAGACATTGATGAGTGTGAGGAGGTGATGGCCGTGCGTCAGCTGTGTGGTAACACGCACGCGGAAAGCTACCGCTGCTCCTGCGCGCAGACCACTACATCATAACGTGTTTTACATGTGTTTTCAAATGTGTTTAATGTGTGCTTATAATGTGTATTCAGACATTGATGAGTGTGAGAAGGTGATGCCGTGCAGTCAGACTGGTGTACGGAAACAGCACGCGAAGCTACCGAGCTGTTCCATGCCCCGAACTACATCATCATAACGTGTTTATGCTGTGGTTTTTCAATGTGTTCTAATGTATGCTTGCTGTAAATGTGTTTTCAGACATTGATGACGCTGTGAGGCAGTGATGCAGTGGCAGTCAGCTGTGTAGAGACCGCACGGAAGCGTAACCGCTGCTCCTGCGCCGAAAACTACCATTCATACAGGGAGACGGCAGGGATGCAAGGCTGACAGCAGTAAGTCATTGGCTAGCAGTAAAGTGAGCAGTATCGTGGCCACAGTGACGGCGCATAGCGATTTTCCCGTTTTTAAGGCAGCAGTTATATTTTTTAATTTTGATTATATTATTTTTTATTTTTTATTATATATTTTTTAAATTTTTATTTATTTATTTAATTATAAAAAATAAAAAAATAAACAATAAAATAAAATAAAATAAAATAAAATAAAATAAAAATAAATGAACGCTGCAGCTGGCCCAGCAACGGCCATAGGGCCATACGACATAGTATGGTGCCGCAGCAACGCCAATAGCGCAATGCAACTTGGGTAAACCTTATACATTATAGACTGGTGCTCGCTCGCACGCCATCAAGTAACTAAGGCCGAGAGGTGGGAGCGGTAGCCAGTCTAATCTATACATATCCCACATATCCCTAGCGGAGCATGTCTCGCTCGCATCCAAACTCCAACGACAGCATGCGCTGTCTGCGGCTCTGGCTCAATTCTACTGTATTATCTAACGCTGTATAATTACGCTAGTCGTCATGTTCCGCTGACTGCGTTCGCTACACTGACGAGTATGCAGGCGAGGTGGACATAAATGGTTATTAGTAGCAGTCACATATTCGAATTAATGTCTATCATATATTCTATTTAGTGATAGTCATTAAAATCAACCATCAATACAACTTATTTTGTCTGCAGCCATACATATCATAGGCATGGAATTAGTTGACAAACACTAAATGATTTAAATGATAGACACTAAATCCATTAGTGTCTTCCATTAAATCCCCGTTGCTCCCATCAGAGCAACGTTACAGAAGATCCGCTGGCGGCCGGCTAACTACTGTCCTACAAAAATCAACGCGGTCAGAGTGTGAAGCATGGTGAGGGTGGGGAGGAGGAGGGGATGAAGCTGGTGGAGAAGCAGGACAGGGGAGAAGGCTGGTGAAGATGAGGAAGGGGAGAAGGGAGAAGGTGGTGAGAAGGAGGAGGGGAGAAGCTTGGTGAAGAAAGAAGTGAGGGGGAGAAGCGTGGTGGAGAATGAGGAAAGGGGAGAAAGGGAGAAGGTGGGAGAGGAGGAGGGAGGGAGAAGGTGGTGGAGAAGGAGGAATAGGGGAGAAGGTGTGAGAATGAGGAAGCGGAGAACGGGAGAAGCTGGTGAGAAGGAGGAGCGGGGAGAAGCTGGTGGAGAAGGAGGAAGGGGAGAAGGAGAAGGTGGCTGAAGGAGGAGGGGAGAAGCTGGTGGAGAAGAGGAAGGGGAGAAGAGGGGAGAAGAGAGCTGGTGAGGAGGAGGGAGAAGGAGAAGGTGGTGGAAGAAGAGGAGGGGAAAAGGAGAAGGTGTGGAGAAGGGAGGGGGAGAAGGAGGGGAGAAGGGAGTGGTGGAGTTGAGGGGAGAAGGGAGAGCGGTGAGAAGGAGGAGGGAGAAGCTGTGGAGTAAGGAGGGAAGGGGAGAAGGAGGGGGAGAAGGAGCTGGTGGAGACGGGAGGGGGGAAGGAGAAGCTGGTGAGAAGGAAGAGGGAAACTGGTGGAGAAGGAGGAGGGAGAACGAGAAGTGGTGAAGGAGGAGGGAGAACCCTGGTGAAAGGAGAAGGGAGAAGCAGGGGGAGAGGAGAGCTGGTGGAGAGGAGGGGGAGAAGGAGAAGTGTGGTGAAAAGAGGAGGGAAAGAGAAGGTGGTGAGAAGGAGGGGAGAAGGAGGAAGGGGAGAAGGAAAGGGAGAAGGGAGCTGGTTGAGGTGGAGGGGGAGAAGGGAAAGCTGGTGAGAGGAGGAGGGGAGAACTGGCTGAAGAGAGGAAGGGGAGAAGGAGGGGAGAAGGGAGCTGGTGAGACGGAGGGGGGAAAGGAGAAAGCTGGTGGAGGAAGGAGGGGGAGAAGCTGGTGGAGAAGGAGGAAGGGGAGAAAGGAGGGGAGAAGGGAGAAGCTGTGGAGAAGAGAAGAGGGGATATCACAGACTTCACGGCATACACCGCTGAGCTGAAGCTGATTATTACCAACACTCTTGATGGCGTAATAGCTTCTCCCCTCCTTCTTCCTCCACACCGTTCTGCTCTTCTCCCCCTCGCTCCTTCTTCAGGCAGCTATCTCCTTCTCTTCTCCACCACCTTCCTACTTCTCGCCTTTTCTCTATTCTCCCACGCAGCTCTCCCTCCTCCTTCTCCACCACCCTCCTCCCTTCTCCCGCTCCTCCTTCTCACCAGCTGCCTTCTCCCCCTCCTCCCCTTCCTCGCTTCTCCCCTCCTCCCCTTCCTCCTTATCCAGCGCAGCTTCTCCCCCTCCTCCTTCTCGACCAGCTTCTCCCTTATCGCCCCGCTCCTCTGCCACCAGCTCCCTTCTCCCCCCTCTGCTCCTTCTCCGCTCAGCTTCTCCCGCCCTCCTGCCAGCCACCTTCTCCCTCTGCCCTTCCTCCTCCACCACTTCTCCGCTTCTCTACCACTTCTCCCTTTCTCCCTCTCCCGTCCTCCACCAGCTCGCCTTCTCCCCCTCCTTCTCGCCTCTTCGTCTTCTCGCCCTCCTCCTCACACCAGCCTCCCTTCTCCCCTCCTTCTCCCCTTTCCTCCTTCTCGCACAATCTTCTCCCCTCCTTCTTCTTGCCCCCCAGCTTCTCCCCTCCTCCACCACCTTTTCCCTTATCTCCCCGCTCCTCCTTCTCCGCCAGCTTCTCTCCCCTCCTCCGTTCGCCACCCACCTCTCCCTTCTCTCTCCTCCTCCTTCTCCACCACCTTCTCCCTTCTCCCCTCCTCCTTCTCGCCACGCACTCGCCTTTTCCCCTCTCCTCCACCGCTCCCTTCTCCGCCTCCTTTCTCCGCCCTTCTCCTTCTCCACCAGCTTCTCCCCTCCTACTTCACCACCTTGCTGTCCGTTTCCCCTTCGCTCCTTGCTCTCACCAGCTGTTCTCCCTCCTCCTCCTTCTCCCACCAGCTTCTCCCTTCTCTCCCTTCCTCATTCTCCACCTCAGCTTCTCCCGCTTCCTCATTCTCCACCAGCCTTCTCCCCCTCCTCCTTCACCAACCTTCTCCCTTCTCCCTTCCTCCTTCTCCTACCCAAGGCTTCTCCCCCCTACTTTTCCACCAGCTTCTCAGCCTTCTAATCGCCTTCCTCATTCTCCACCAGCGTTCTCCCCCTCCTCCTTCTCACACGCACCTCTCACTTCTCCCCTCCTCCTTCTCTCCACCTTCTCCGTTCACCTTCCTCTCTGCACCTTATTCCTATCTCTCCCTTCCTCCTACTCCACCAGCTTCTCCCTCTCCTCCTTCACCACCTTCTCCCTTCTCCCCTTCCTCCTTCATGTCCACCAGCTCTCCGGCCGCTCCTCCTTCTCACACCAGCTTCTTCCCTTTTCCCCTTCCTCATTTTCCACCAGCTTCTCCCCCTCCTCCCTTCCCACCACTTCTCCCCTTCTCCCCCTCCTTTCTCTCACACCTTCCCATCTCCCCTTCCTCATTCCTCCACCAGCTTCTCCCGCCGCCTCCTCCTTCTCCACCAGCTTCTCCCCTCCTCCTTCTCCACCACCGTTCTCCGCTTCTCCCCTCCTCATTCTTCACCAGCTCTCCCTTTCCCTGTTTCTCCACCAGCTTTCCCCTCCTCCTCCACGCACCTCACCGTATGCTTCACGACTTCTGGACGTGATTTTTGTACGGAAGTAGCTGGCGCCGCAGCGGATGCTTTGTAAACGTTGGCTCGATTGTCAGCAACGGGGATTTAAGACAGATCACCCCTGCCTAAAATGATATAGCTGTCTATCATTAAATCAGTTAGTGTTTTGTCAATAATTCCATGTCTATGATTGGGCTGAAAAAAATAAGTTGTATCTGATTGGTTGATTTAATGACTATCACTAAATAGAATATTAATGATTAACATTTAATTCGATATATGTGACTGTCACTAAATACCATTTATGTCCACCTCGCCTGCCATATCGTACTGTATTATATCAGGTTAAGATAATACAGGTAGAATTGAGCCCAGAGCGGAGCGCATCTGTCGTGGATTGTTGGATGGAGCGACAGACATGGCTCGGCTAGTGTGATTGTCGGATATGTTATAAGATAGACTGGTAGCTCGCTCCCCCTCTCGCGTTAGTTACTTGATGGGTGCGGCGCACCAGTCTAATCGTATTCAAGGTTTTACCCCAAGTTGCATTTGCGCTATGGCGTTGCTGGGCCCAAACCATACTATGTCTATTGGCGCTATGGCGTTGCTGGGCCGTGCCGCGGCGGCGTTTTTTCATTTTATTTTTATTTTATTTTAATTTTATTTATTTTTATTTTTATATTTTTATATTTTTATATTTTTTATAATTAAATAAATAAAATAAAATTTAAAAAATATAATAATAAAAAAATAAAAAAAAATAATAATAAAACTAAAAATATATACTGCTGTTAAACACCGGAAAATGCGCTATGGCGTCACACTGGCCATCATAGGCAGTGGCCGTAGGGCAGACGCTTTGTGCCACATTACTAGTAGTTTAGCAGTAAGGCAGTAGCAGTAGCATAAGGCAGTAGCTTTGTGCCAACATTACCAGTAGTTCTTAGCAGTAGACGTAGCAGTATCGACATTACATGCCTGTTGA